CAAGAGATTTTCATCAGTGTACCTAATTTATTTTGACTATCTTAATATTAAACATTGCTACATAACTAGAAAGGGTTCATATTTTCTTTGTCTACTTGGCAGAATGTGAGTGCTCCCAGGCGCCTACAAATGTTTAATATAAAACAAACATAGACATAAAATTGATAAAACATAAGAGTAATAGGCAGAACCTGATTAATCTCCTATTGCTTCAGTAGTGAAATGCAAATTGATAAGGGTTGTTAGAGACATTGTCTCCCTATATCCCATGTGTCACGCTAGGTGTAGTAAACGTTAAATTGGGTTAGCTTAAAATTTTCTGCCCTACTCTTCATCTCTTAATAAATTAATAATGGTTTTTTAGTTATGATATTTATATTATTAGTAATAAATTCTCTAAAACTTTTACTATACCCTGATTAATTTATATGCCCTGTTGACAAATATCATACTATTCACGTAGGAAAAACTATTTTTATGGAATTAATATTAAAAAACTATAACCACAAAAAAATATGTTTCATGTCAAGCCAACATATGTAAAATGTGTCATATATTTTTGTTTTATTGACAAGGATACTCCTCAATTGTTACGAAAACGGACACCAACCTCCACCTACATGGTGTTCAAATTTTGCTCCACTAAATTTTAGAAGTTCGGTGTGGCCCTATTCATCCACATCAAAATATCTTTTATTTTCTTATTTTGATTATTTAATTTTTTTTAATTAGTATTTATGTTAATTTGATTTGATTTATATTAATATTTATAATAATTATATAATTCAAAAAAATATGAAAAATTTAAAAAAAAAAAAAAAAAACTTTACTACAATACAAATATTAAATTTCAATAACTCAAAATAAATTAATTAATATATAAAAAATAATTTGAGAATTAATTTCACACGGTTGATGATGTCTTAAATACGAACAATGTTAACTTTTCTTAAAAATAGTCTATCAATTTAATATTATATGTTCTTACAAGTACTCTGAATTATAGAAGTTTGAACAAGAATGGAGAAAAATGATTCACACTTTTCTATTAAAAGAGGACGTATAAATACAGATTTGAGAAACTTAAATTACTCCTAAACTTATGATAACGTATAACAACATATGTGTAAATGTAGGAAAGTATGAGCTGTACAGATTTCCCAAACTAGCTGATAAAAAACAATTAAATGTGTCAGATGCAGTTACGAATTCTGGTGCTGATTTTCTGCATGAATAATAGCTGTCCTTATATGGATCACCACCCTCTCCATACGATATCTTAATTTCAGTCCAGCTCTAAGAAAACATGGAACTCTTCTCTCTGCAAACTTTTCTCTTCTTTCCTTTACTCTTTCTCTTCTACTTCTACTTTCACACTTCATACAAAAAACCCATAAGTAACGGCTTCAAACATTACCCTATACTAGGATTCATACCCGATTTCATCAAAAACCGGCACCGATTCCTTGACTGGACAGCTGAAATCCTCAAACGCTGCCCCTCCCGCACTGCTTCCTTATACCGTCCAGTCAATTTGCGACGGCCAATCCCTCAAACATCGAGTATATTCTCAAAACCAACTTCGAGAACTACCCGAAAGGCGAAAAATTCATCTCCTTTCTTGAATATTTCTTCGGTCGAGGAATCTTTAACTCCGATGGAGAGTTATGGAAAGTCCAGAGGAAAATTGCCGGCTATGAATTCAACCCAAAATCGCTTCGAAATTTTGTTACAGAAAATGTTACCTGCGAGATCTTTTCAAGGTTAGTTCCCATTTTAAGAAAAGCCTCCGAATCAAAACAAGTGTTGGATTTACAAGATATTTTAGAGCGGTTTGCATTTGATAACATTTGTAAAGTAGCGTTTAACGTTGATCCGGGCTTTCTCGATAAAGATGGAACCGCTCATTCCGAGTTCATGCGCGCTTTTGATTATGGAACCACACTCAGTGCGGACCGATTCTTGTCTGTATCGGCATTCATATGGAAAATCAAGAGGTTCTTTAACATTGGATCAGAACGACTGATGAGAAAATCCATTGCATTAGTTCATGAATTTGCTAATAATATTATTCGTTCAAGACTGGAGACTATGGGTGAAGATTGACTGTCGCGGTTTATGAGAAATAACGAAAACTCGCCCGAATTTCTCCGAGATATCGTCATCAGCTTCATTCTTGCAGGACGCGACTCAACATCAACGGCTTTAACTTGGTTCTTTTGGCTACTATCTTCTCACTCAAACGTTGAGGAAAAGATATTGAAGGAGCTGGAGTCAATTCGGACCAGAAACGGGAAAAGTATCGGCGATGTTTACAGTTTTGAAGAGCTGGGAGACATGAATTATTTACATGCAGCGATATCTGAAGCGATGCGGCTGTACCCACCGGTACCGAACGATACGAAAGAGTGCATGAAAAACGATATGTTGCCGGACGGCACATTTATCGGGGAAGGATGGTTCATTACAATATTACATATGCGATGGGTCGAATGGAGAGCATCTGGGGCGAGAATTGCTATGAATATTTGCCGGAACGGTGGCTTGAAAATGGAATATATCGGCCAGAGAACATGTTTCGGTTCCCGGTTTTTCATGCCGGACCGAGAATATGTTTGGGGAAAGATATGGCGTATATTCAGATGAAATCAGTTGCAGTATCTGTGATTGAGAGGTTTGTGATCGACGTACAGGATAAGGACAGGAGCGGCTGTTATCTTTGACAATAAAAATGAAAAATGGGTTACTCGTGAGAGTGAAGGAAAGATGTGTGGTCGTGATGAAGTGAGCTTGATTTACCAGTTGTAGTAAGAATGTATAATAAAACTTGTTGTGATCACTTGTTTGGAATAGTACTATTGTACTAAATGACTACAGTAACAGCAGCTATCAGTATCGCAATTAAAAACAATAATATTAGATGCACGGACAAATTTTACCAACAATTTGTGTAATGTATAATAGAACTTGTTGTGATCACTTGTTTGGAATAGTATTATTGTACTAAATGACTACAGTAACAACAGCTACCAGTACCGTAATAAAAAAACAATAATATTATATACACAAACAAATCTTACAAAGAATTTATATACAAACTCATTATATTTACTTTTTTATTTATTTATTTTCACATTAAATTATACATAAATCTTTATAAGATTTTAAAACTCCACTTGTTTTAATATTTTTACACTATCTTATTCCTATAATTCTGAAAATATACATTTGTTTCCCTATTCAGAAAATCATAATCTATTTTATTCAATTACTTTTAAAACTTTAAGTTTGTTAATTTAATTAAACACCCCTAAAAAAAGTTTAGAAATTAATAAAAACATCCTCACCCACCCACATTTGTCAGATTCTAGCCACCACCATCAGAAGGTGGTTGGAATTTGATATAATATGGCTGATATGGCCGTCGTTGACAACCAAACGCGGCTAGATCTGGCTAGAAAAGGCCATCTCAGCCCATGACTGGTCAGATCCAACCGGTCGTGCACCGATACGGTGACTCCGGCCACCCTCCAGTGATGGTAGCCGACTGCTGGTATTTAATGGGTGAGTGGGGGTGTTTTTATAATTTTTTATATTTTTATCACAAGGGTGTTTAGTAAATTAACAAACATATGAGGTGTTTTTGTTAATTTTTAAATCCTACCTCGTTACGACCACCCAACTCTTACTTTTTCAAAAATACTAAAACAAATGCATCTGGTTCGTTTGTTTAAATATCCTATTTGTATTCCAAATCAAAATGCACATTTGTTTCCCTATTCTCAAAATACTACTCCAAATTTTTCAACTATTTTTAATTTTCAAATTCTACCTCGTAATAATCATCCACTACCTCGTAATAACCACTAAACTCTACCTAACAATAATATTTCAAAAATACTACTCCAAATAACTAAAATACGCATTTGTTTCCCTATCATATCCATATTCCAAATCATCATTTGTTTCTCTATTCTCAAAATTATATCCTAAATTATTCAACTATTTTTAATTTTCAAATTCTATCTCGTAATAGCCACCCAACTCTACCTAACAATAATATTTTAAAATTACTACTCCAAATAAGTGAATAACTAAACAAACGCACGCAGTACTCTGTTTCTTTTGGATTTGGAAAATGGTATCAAGTGGCACACAATGAAATGGTGATCCACCTCAGCAAGTTAAGAGAGAGAGGCAAAACCTTTGGTGGATTTACAGTCAACAACTACGTGTTGTTGGTGCAGACACTTAACTCAGAAAGATTCACCATTATTTACCACACAAATCACCTGCCTTGATCATATTTTATGATTTTATCCATTCAAAATACATTAATGAGAATCTACGGTTTGGTTCTGTTTGGTTCATTATTGGGTAGTTTTTAGAATAATATTTTGAAAAAAATTAAATTAGGTGGGTATTACGATATAGAATTTTAAAAATTAACAAAAATACCCCCTATGTATATTTATTTACTAAACACCCCTATAATAAAATATTCAAAGTTAATAAAAACACCCTCAATCCACTCATTAAATACGAACAGCTGACCACCACCGCCGAAAGGTAGCCGGAGTCATCGTATCAACGCACAACCATATCATGGTCGTCGTTGACGACTATCTGCCAAAGATCTGGCTAGAAAAGGCTAGATTGACGCACTACCGGCCAGATTCAGCCAACAGTGCGCCATTACACCAGATTCTGACCAGCTTCCGATAGTGGTGACCAAAATCTAATAAATTTGGATTGCTGAGTGTTTTTGTCAATTTTTTTTTTTTTTTTTTGGATTATTTAGTTAAATCAACAAATTTAGAAGGTTTAAAAGAAATTGAATAATTTAGAATTATATTTTGAAAATAGGTGAACCAAACACAAATTTTGTATCAACTTTATTGGGAAAACTAGAATAGTTTTCCCAATATATGTACCAAATGGAGCCTACATATCTGCTACCGAGGATATTCATACGAAGACCAATGCTTATCCAACAAATGAAAATTGTAAATTCACTAGTCGAATTACATTTTGCTATAATGTTATAATATTGACTAGCCACTCCAAACCTTATAACAAAATCAACATTGTACTTACACACAATAAACTCCAAAACAAAGTACACAAAAAACCTATTACAAATAAAATCAAAAATAAAATATTAGACTGGACTGTATACAGATTTGTATGACTTTGTGGGAAGAATAAACCCAGGGGATTTTTCACTAGGGCTACATCTTCAGCAACCACCACCACTTGCAGGTTCAATAGAACTCAGTAGCCCATTGCCTCTTAGTTGCATGCAATGATCCTCTGCATCCGTTTGAGAACAAATAATCAAAACAGACAATCCATTGTAGTGTGTTCTTTACATGATATTAACTGCATTGTCCAAAGTCATTCCGGGTATAACCTTCATTAATACTTGGACAAAATATTCCCGTTTAGTTTAGCTGTAATTGTGTAGTATCACTCAATAAGGTGGAATTGTTTTTTTTTTTTTTCCTGAAAAAGTAAAGAATAGTACCACTAATGCTTCAGCATGCCATTCATTTGATTCTATATAAAAGAGAACTATTCTATGTCGTACAGAAATATTCACAAAACAAAATGCACAATAATTAAAGAGAAATTCAAACTTGTAAGAATGAAAGGAACAAAATGACTTAAGATAAATGGTTTTACCTTGAGATACATTAAAATGCATATTCCACTGGAACACTTAAAAAGAAACAACTCAGAATATTGGGCATATAATACCTCAGATCAAATTTGGATTCTCAGCCAGGAGTGGTTCTCTCTATAACTGGCCTCTCCAACACCCCTCCTTTACCTGGTCATGTTGCTGAAACAGCCATGAGAACGTTCCAATTGGCATATGCCCTTCTACAAAGAGACTGTCTGTCCCCTTGTTGCACATACTATCATTAATCACCATCCTCATCATCTTGATACCAAAAAGACAAATAGTCTAACTCAAAATTTACCACACCCAATCAGGAGATTAAAAAATAAAACATATTAGAAAGAGAAACAGTATAATTTTGCATATCGCGATTCCCACTTCATTAATCAATTTAAGGGACACTAGGAATCTGTATTTTGAAAGGTCTCTCCAAATCTATCTATCTAGCCTCGACTGCAGGGGGAAATTACCAATATTTATTTATCTTCTTTTGATCTCCTCTTCTCTTCTCACTTAAGTATCCAAACAGAATCTAAAACTCCTCCCACCTCACTTCACTTCACATCACCTCTTTCCATTTCTCTCAAAACATCAACTATTTTTTTTTTTTTTTTTCTCAAAAAAGGCAATTTAAGAAAATCTACAGACTACTATGTTGTTCAGATACTAACTACAACTTGATTAACAAGTAAAAACTAAAAAACAAGACAATACATTGCTCCAAATTCATTTCAGCAAATGAAAAAACACAAAAATAACCCGAAACTCAAATAAAAACACATCATCATCTTAAAAACTAGTTGGCCATACACAATCCTTCCTGTTATACTCAAAATTGAACATGCAACATAACAACAGACTTAAAAGTAATTGTTACTAAAATCAAATCAAAGCCAATAAACTTATCCAACAAAAATAAAAGCCAAAAATATAGAGCATTGAAAGAAGAACTTGGTTTGGAATTGAAGACGGTGTTGGGTGAAAAAGCTAGTTTCCCACAAATTGCAATCTCCATATTTTCTCTCGCTCCGATCTCTTGCAAAAAGAGAGAGAGAGAGAGAGAAGAATGATAAACATCTAACTTGATAAAAATATACCCAGATGAGAATCGGACTATGCATTCATTTAACAAAAAAAAAAAAAAAAAGACAAACCCAGAAGAGAATTTGCAAGATGTGTAAAAAAAAAAAAAAACGAAAACCTGATAAGCAGAAGTCAAAGTCGGGGGGGAAGTGATGGCCGCTTAGGGTGGTGGTCAGTTGGGGTGTCGTTGAGATTGGTGGTGCTGGTGCGGCTGAGATGGGAGAAAGTGATGAGTTGAGGCAGGCAACCTGGTGTGGCTGTGGTGACCGCCGTGGGAACGGGCTGTGATTGGAGAATGTGGTGGCTAGGGTTTTCAAAATTGAATGGAAATTTGGGGAGAGTTTTTTTGGGTTTAGGGAAATTGAAAATTGAAATGTATATGTGTAGGATTTGTTTCAGGGAAGATTTCAAATTTTGGGATCTTGATTTTTTTTTTTTTTTTCTTTTTTAAGTTTTTGGGAAGTAACGTGGCAGATTCGTGATCGGCAAATGAGTTGCCTCTGTTACGTCAGCTGCCACGGCCGATTGTAAGGATAGTTAGTAAGACCATTTATAAGAATAACTATAATTATAAAGAAATTTTACAAAAGGTTTTCATATAAAGTAACATGGTAAAAAATGAATAAAAAAGTAAAAGAAACTCTTTAAATTCACTCTTCTATTTATTTTTTACCATACCACTTTATATAAAGATCTTTATAAAATTTTTTTATAAATGTAGTATTAATTATTTCAAAGAGTAAACGACATGCTGTCAACAAGCTTTGGTGAAAAGGAAAGTTTTCGTTAAATTCTAGTTCTCATTCTTAAACTAACATTATTACTAATTTTTTGGTTTTGATACAATTATAGAAAGTGGTATTATCATACTGTCTTTCACAAATAAATTATTTTTTAACATTCAAATTAGTAGAATTAGAAAAATAATCATCTTATTTTCAAATTTATTTCAGTAACACTCTTTTTCAACCTTCAACCTTCAATCATCCCCATCTCCAACCACCCAGCCACTGCAACTGCCACCACCACCTAGCTACTACAGTCGAACGACAAACCCAAACATTACGAAAATCAATCAATCAATCAACTGCAGAAATCCCAAACAAACAACGATTGGTGTGCGGGCCTGCGCATTAGGGGACAGGCACTAGGTGTGGTTTTTTGTCGAACGTCTAGTGTGCACACTGGAAGAGGTGGAAGGTGAGAGCGTTGAGGAGAGCTGACAATCAGAAAATCAACAACACTACAAAAAAAAACCTTCCTCAATCGTCTTCTAACAAACAAACTTCCAATGAATCAACAAATCAAACCCAAATCATCAATCACAATAAAAAAAAACCTTAGGGAGAGGAGGCTTCAATCGGTGACGTTTGATGAGCAACCGAGGTTAGGAAGGGTGGGGGTTTAAGAGATGGGAAGTTGGTGATGAGATTGGTGGAGACGGGGATGATTTCCGATGACGGTCTCGACCAGAAAAGCTTGAACTGCACCAAAACGAACCAAAGCGGTGTCATGTGAACGGCAGGCAAATTGGTGCGAGATGGTAAGGGGTAGAGGTGGGCAAGGGACCGGTCCCTTGCGGGACCAGTCCCAGGCCCATGAGAAAAACCAGGACCCTGACCAGGCCCTAGGCTTGGTCGGGACTGGTCCCATGGGCCCAGGACCGGTCCCATGGGCTTGGATAATTTATTTTCCCCCTTCAAATTTTTTATATTTTGGGGGCAAAACAAAATTTTGTAGGGGGTTTTTAGTATTTTTTAAGGGTAAAATTTATAAATTTTATAAATTTTTTAGACCTGGAAGATTTTTTTTAATAAATTTTATAAAATTTTATTTTAGTCCTTGTAATTTATATTTATTTTAAAATTAATAGGGGGTTTTATGTAATTTGACTATATTAAAAAATACAAAAAAATTTGGGCCTATGCCTGGGCCGGGCCTTGAAGGGGGGCCCAGTAGAGGGCCCGAGCCCTCCTCCTTAGGCTTGGTCCCAAAAGGTCCGGTCCTTGAGAGGACCGGTCCTAGGACCGGGTTTTAGAGCTGGGTTTTTTGGGCCCGGTCTCAAATGCTCAGCTCTAGTAAGGGGTTTTAGTGAGAGAGCTGAGGGGAATAATTTGGTGATGATGGGCAAGGTCGAAGGCACTAGAATTCGGCCAATTTGTTCTCGATCGACAGTCGCACAATGGTGAGTCATTTCAGATCTAATGTACTACAAATAACCACTTAATCCTTTGACCTTTATACTAAACATTCTTTTGTTGATTTAATTATGGGAATTTAGAATTTTATGAAACCAGGAGTGACTGGCCATTTCACCAAACATTGGGTGGGAACATGTCGTTTACTCTTATTTCAAATAATAAATTTTATACTAACATTTAATTTATGAAACTAGTTGTTAGGCCTATTTTGTTGCTTTTAAACAGTAAAGAGGAAAAAGATATAATCATGCTAAAATTTGATTATTATATGAAAATATAAAAGGAATTAAAAATAAATAAAAAAACCTAAAGAAAAAAATACTCTCCCTCTCTCCGTCCCCCACTGCCGAAACTCTCCCTCTCCAGTCTCCACCGCTGCTCTTACTCTCTCCTTCCCCCACTGTCTCATTCTACCACCGGTCGCCGCCTCATCCCCAGAAAACAAAAACCCGAAGGCCACAAACCAAATAACCATACCCATGATTTAAAAGCCTGTTATTACAATCATAATTAACAGTTCACTCACATTTATCATAAATTTATGATTTTGCTGTTGTGTTTAGCTAGGGTTTGGCTTCGTTGTGTTTCTGAGGCTTTCTCCGATTGGTGGGTTCTTCTGCCAATTCCCAGACCTAAAGTTGACGAGATCTCTCTTATCACCAAGAAAACTTCCTTCCCTCTAATTTTGTTTGAATTGTGTAATTTGGTTTTTTTATTATAATTGTTTATACTTTTGACAGAATCCTAAACTATATGAAGAAGTTATAAAATGTAAAAACTCATGGAGATGGAGCAGTTCAGTGAGAACAAACAATCTGGTCAATTAAATTCAAATCACCCAGCTTCTAATCGGAATTAAATTTTTACCAATTAGTGTGGTTTCTGCTATGGCTATTTATGATTGTGCTTAGGTGAAGTGGTGGGGAGTGGTTGGTTGTGATAGGGGTGTTAGGTATACGATTGGGTGGAGTTGCTGGTTTGATGCATTTGTGATGAAGGTGGTTGGGTCTTGTGGGTGAATCCTGGCGGATTGAGGTTGAGGTGAAGAATAGAGAAGAAAGATATGGAGGAGAAAGAGAGGAAAAAGAAAGAGGTTGGGGGAGAAAGTGGACTTTCCAAGGTTAGTCAAGGACAAAAGTCGGTTGGACAATTTTACCCTTACTGACCACACCTAACGATTTGTTAATGCCATAACTGATTTGGGGGGTATTTGATGCATTTTAGAAACCTACTAGGGGGAATTTAATTAAAATAGTCAAAGTTACTCGGAGGAATTGACATTCTAAAACTTTAGGGTGAGTTTTGATTTTTTTCTCATTCTTTTTATCGTAAACCTTTTTCGTGTGTTTGGCCTTTTTATATTGATTTCAGAAGTATGACCTAGCATCCATTGGTTTCGGAAATGCAACTCTAGCCCCTGTGTGTTTGACTTTATTTATAATGAGCAACTTCTGGTTTTAGATACGTCTTCAATTTAAGCTTCAAATTTATTAACAATTTCATCAATCTCACCTCCAAAAAATTTATTAACCTCTCAACATTATTGACAGATTTTGGTAAAAACGTCATTTCCTTCAAATTTAAATTGAATACGTAACGGTCCATAAAAAATGGGAATTAGAATCATATTTTTGAAACTAATGGGTGCTCATTAAGAAAAGGGCAAACACACGGCATTGGGGTCATATTTTCAAAACCAAAGGGTACTTACTACAAAAAAGCCAAACACATGGTGTTTTTTATTAAAAAAAAAAACTATTTTATTATATTAATTTCAAAACAACACACACATACATTTATTGTAGTAAAACGAAATCTTAAATTCAATCCAGCCTTAAAAGATAAAATCTAAATTCCTATATTATAATTTTTTCCCTAAAAATTAATAAGATATGATTAACACCTTATTTTTTTATTAAATTAATATTTTTTCTTATTTTTAATTAAAATTTTAATATGTTATTTAATAATATTAATAAATTAAATAAAAAAATTAGTCTTAATAGCACCATATTTTCAATCAAATTCAATAAATAGTCAATTCTCAAATTTCGTTAATTATGACTAAATATTTTTTATTCAAAAATTTATTTCTTACTATTTATTATAATATAAAAAATATATACTTTTTTAATAAAAGCAAGATCGCAAAACATTGTTTTTAATCTGGTTTTTTATGTAAGGTTAGTGTTCAATAAATGAACAGAGACAAAAAAAGAATATGGAATATAGAAGAATTGGTTGAGATACTCGTGAATACGTGAGTGTTTATATTTTCGTAAAGAGTAACTATAGGTGCAAAATACAATTATAATGAAGAAGCCTTCAAATATGCTAATCCACCTCCAAACCTCCCAAAGGTGAGTTAATTGTAAATTAGTCCCTAGGTTTTGGGTCCACTGTTAGGACATTTCAATTGATCAAATAGTCCCTAGCAAAGGGTGAGTGGGTCTAGGTATCTAGCCTAATTCCAAGAAATTAGAATCGAAACTGGTCGGTTCCTTAGATTTGGAATTGGAATTGGAATCAGAACCGATCGGTTCTAATTCTGGGTGATAGTCTAAAAATGACAAATATAACCCTAAAAATTAAATACGCCCCCAACAATCCATAATAATTACAAATACACCATCAGTACTTGTCGGCTCCACCCCGGGTACCCGAACCCTGACTTTGGGTCTGGTTCTTGAAGTGGTGGAATTGGACCTGGACCTAAACCCGCACAAGGTCAGTTCCACCAAATTTGGAAGTGGAACCGGAACCGAAGCCGACCCTATGTGGGCTGATTCTGGTTCCTACTCAGATCGATTTTAATTCTACCCTTTACCCATGCTCACCCCTACTAGCAACGAAGCCAATTTTAATATTAAGATACATTATTAATAAAATAGATGAAGTTTTTGCCATTGGAGGTAAAACAATTTTCCAATAAAAATATTCATNATAGAGTAGGTTATGCGATGGGGAACCCGTGAGTAATGGGTAAAGTATTCCCGCATGTACGCCGCATTGAGAGAGCGGCATGAGTATGAGATAGAGAAGTGGTGTAGCCCGTGAGAGTGCATGCGGATGAGGGCTATACCCGAGTACCCAAGAGAGAGATTATACACTCACGTGGCCAAGGGTTCCGAATCCATGCATAACCGAGTCCGATCGGCTAAAATGAGTAGAAGTCACGTAGAGTGGGAGAGAGTTCCGGCCGTGCCTCCGGTAAGATGAGGCCGTGACTACTAAAGAGAGTTAGTAAAAAGAGTTATGAGAAAGAGAAAGTAGTGAGAAGTATAAAGATAGAATAAATGAGAACTGTAAGAAAAGAATCAGAGAGAAATAGTTACGTGGATAGATGTGTAGAGGATTTACTTACTGAGCATTAGTTGTGCTCACCCCGTTGTTTTTCATGTTTTGCAGGATCCAGGTGAGGACACGGTTGGATGGGCGTCGGCAAGCGGAGGGAAATGGCTACACTGTCCACCCTGTTTTGATGTTTTGTACATGACACAACTTTTTGTATTTACAGGATGTATATATTTAATAAAAGAAAAATTTGGGCCCAACCTTTTTATGTTATTTTATACGTATTTTATTATGTCAATGCTTTATGAGTATTTGAGTAGAAAGAGGCTATTACAGTGGGTCTAGGTACCTAGCCCAATTCCAAGAAATTAAAATCGAAACCAGTCAGTTCCTTGAATTTGGAATTGGAATCAGAACCGATCGATTCTAATTCTGGGTGATAGTCTAAAAATGACAAATATACCCCTAAAAATTATAATACGCCCCCAACAGTCTATAATAATTACAAATACACCATTAGTACTTGTCGGCTCCACCCCAAGTACCCGAATCCCGACTTTGGGTCTGGTTCTTGAAGTGGTGGAATTGGACCTGGACCCAGACCCGCACAAGGTCAGTTCCACCAAATTTGGAAGCGGAACAGGAACCGGAGCCAACCCTATGTGGGCTGATTCTGGTTCCTACTCGGATTGATTTTGATTTTACCATTTACCCATGCTCACCCCTACTAGCAACGAAGCCAATTTTAATATTAAGATACATTATTAATAAAATAGATGAAGTTTTTGCCATTGGAGGTAAAACAATTTTCCAATAAAAATATTCATCGGAAATGTAATTTATAAAATTTGAGCTTCTTTGGTAAATCATTTTCTTGTATATTAAGAATTCTTAGAGTGAATTTTATTAATTGTTGAGAGAAAAAAAAAAAAATGGGCATTTACTAGAGATTGTGCATTCTTAATTTGATGTTAAGTTGTTAACTACTAGGGTTCCAAGACCCTTTTGTGGGGAAGCAGCCCAAATGGCATCTTATTTGATAAATGGCATGCCTACTTGAGTACCTAATTTTCAAACTCCGTCGAATGCATTCACCTTAATATATCCTCACAAAAAAACGAGTTTTTTACATGTTAATATTTCTACATCATTCCTAATAAATAGGAATATCAATTAATAATAATACTATACACATAAATAAATCTTACAAAAATTTCTATATAAAGTAAATAGATAAAATGAATAGAAGAGTAAATACAAAAAGTCAGACTCATTAAATTCACTTTTTTATTCATTTTTTATCACATCATTTTATATAAAAATCTTTGTGAGATTTATTTTCACGTGTAATATTATTCATCAACTAAAATTGTTAACTTTTGGTTTTTTATTCTATTATAGAAAAGACTCATGTACACGTTTAATAAAAATGTTTATTTTGATTGTTTGAATAAACATAATGTTTTAATATCTTAATGTTTTTTAAGATTATAAATGAAACTATGGAGCCTTTTTATTGTTGACCTTTTTCTATTAAATTGTTTGCTTGCATCATATAGATGTATTCATCAATCGAAAATATTGTCTTGATATTCATTTATCATATATCACAATCATCATTATTGACTTCAAAATATTGCCGTGGTATTTTACCAAAAACATGTATGAGATTTCCAAAATAGTCTTCAATATCACCATCTCATTATCCATACATGGTCGTTAGGGCTGTCAAACGAGCTAAGCGGCTCGCGAGCCAGCTTTGCTTGACTTGTCTGAAGTTGGTAGTTTATAGTTAGCCAAGTCAACTCCGCTCGGCTCGACTCGGTAGGCTGGTGAGCTTGAGGTGGCTCGCCAAAGCAGAGTTCTTTTTGTTAGTTTTATCAACTGTGGGTTTGCTATCTAATCACATGGGAAAGGCAACTACAATGGATATTGTTAATAACAAAAAAGTATTTTTAATGTTAAAATATAGTTTTAAAACTTTACATATTTGATTAGAGATATAGATCAGAAGCAAAAGTTACGACAGTCCACCGAGACGTTAAGTGATCCAAACCACACTAGATCACTACTCTTGTAAGGATAAGGAACGGAAGAGAGATTCCAGTTTGAAGCTCATTCTTGTTGATAAACCGCAACACTCAACAAAAGGAAAAAACTCAAATGCAAATTTCTTCACTTTCAGCGGTTGGGCAATGCCCAACATGGTCAACTTCACCAATCCCGTCTCTAAAATGTACATTCCTCTCCCCCACCAAAACCTCTCTTCTTTTCTCCGCCCAAAAACCACTCATTGTCACCCACAAAACACGCCCAACTCACATCGTTTCAATGAGCACCGAAGCTGGAATCGGTGTCATGGGTACTAAACTTGGAATGATGTCATTCTTTGAAGAAAACGGCACCGTAGTTCCTGTCACTGTCATTGGGTTTCGAGAAGGGAACATTGTGACTCAAGTTAAGACCGCTTCCACTGATGGGTATGATGCGGTTCAAGTTGGTTACAGGAGAGTTAGGGATAAGAAATTGACGAAACCTGAGATGGGTCATTTGCAGAAGTCTGAAATTATACCCCTGAGGCATTTACAGGAGTTTAGGTTGCAGTCTGTTGAGGGGTTCGAGGCGGGTCAAAAGTTGGTTTTTGATGAGCTTTTTAAGGAGGGGGATCTTGTTGATGTTTCTGGGACTACTATTGGAAAGGGGTTTCAAGGTATTGCTTTGTTTTGCTCTCTCTGGCCTTTAAATTTGGGAGAAAGGTGATTTTTACACACATTTTCTTGAGTAAAAATTAGAATTTTACCACAAAATTCTTATAATTTTAACAAAAAATTAGAGATGTAATCTATATAAAATAAGTTACTGTCTAATGGAGAACTGGTTAGTGCAGTGTATTTAGTTTGGGTTCATTTAGTCACACCCCTTGAGTTCTTGTGTTTTGTTTGTGTTTTTGGCTTGTTGTAGCTTTTGTTGGATTGTGAAGTTAAACATTAGTTGTCTGTTGTGAGATGTGGTATTTGTTGTAATGGTTATTATAGGTAATGTAGTATATGATTTGTGCAGTAATGACTTTGTGGGATGGAAAAGTTCTTTATCTTTTTTTGTAGTACACAATATCTGTTCTTAATTAATTTGAGATATTGAAAGATTTGGGCCATTGGGTTTGAGAGACTGGAGAGAGTTAATTGATAAAGGGTGAATTGGGTGATTGTTGGGAAGTTTAATAGGTGAAATTGTTCTGATATTATTGATGGATGCTTGGTGGTAAAAATGGACTGGTATTATGTGATGAATGAATGTCGGTTGTCCCTTGGTTGTTTCTGAGGTATAAAAAGATATTATTGATTGCAGAGTGGTTTTAAAAAGCAAATACTGTAGAAATAATTAAACTGGAAGAGGTGAAACTTGATAATTATTGATATGATCTGTGAACTAGAAACTGTTTAGAGGACTCTACTTTTATTTTTTTGTACATTTATTCAGTTTTGTAGAGAGTTTGTTCCAGGATCTTATGGAAAAGAAAAAAGTTCTTAGAACATCCCATGCTCTAAATTTTAAACTGAAGGAAGAGTTTGATAGGTTTTGTACAAAAAATAAGAAAACTGAGCAGCTATTATCTATATCTGGGAAAATCTTCTAAAGTGCCTAACCAACGAAATATGCATATTCTTCTTGTTTTTAGTGGATGATTTGCAAGCACAACACATTTCTATACCAAATTTGATAAGTAATGAGGTTCGAAGATTTTTATATAGATTCATGGAACCCAATTGAGGGCTAGAGACGTGTAGAAGTCTGAAGGGAATTATTGTTCTCATTTATGCTATCAAGTCTAGGAGAAAGATGGCATAATCAGAATTCCATTCACTATTATAGTAAATGTTCTTGTGGTTGAAGAACTTTGACCCTTTCAAACTTAAGAGGCATATGAATTCGTTTAGAAGAGTTGGATCCAATTGTTTTACACCAATTTTTTTTTTTAGTTCACATGCTCTTATTATTATTATTATATTCTTTTTTCCCATGTCCTTTCTTTCTGTAGAAATTCTATTGACTCTGTGGATGGATAGTTGGATTTAGTTTTATCTATCTCTGTTTCAAAAATTTGAATTTTCCAAGACTGTGATCCCACATAATGGTTAATCATTTGACTATAGTAATTATAGCTTATCTAGCTATATACTTTATTAAACTTGTTTTCTAATTCCTGCTCTTGTTAGTGTTTTTAACTGGTACTGACTCTTGAATAGAAACAACACTGAGAAAGAATTATATTGCTACATTCCCTGCTGTGAATTTAAAGACATTTATTTGATCATTGTCACCCAGTTAGACTTGAAAAGGTCGATGTCAAAATGCAGGACATCGTTTGGTAGAAATTTTGTGTAGTAGCATCCATCAGGCATCAAGTTTGATGTAAGAGCCCTAAGCAACATTTCAAGGAGCATCTCCTTGTTTCTGAAATTGGTTTAGTGTATATAATTCTTATCTTCTCCGGAAATAGAATATCAGTGAATCAAAGATCTCCATGAGTATGAGCTCTAACTCAAAGCTTTGGGAAAATTCATTTTTTCTGCCTAAGATTCTAACGTCAAAGATCTCCATGAGTACACTCATTCTTTTGGTAAATGAGTGTGAAACATGACTTCAGTTTGCCTGTGTTGCGTAGACAAAGATGCTTTCATCACTTAGTATGCTGCTGTTATGAACTTATACTATCAAAATGAAAAATTAGCAAGCGAGTTGTATCATAATTAGTTGTAACAAGTTTTCGACTGCCACATGAAATTCTGTAGGCAATGTAATTGTTTAGGAACCATTCATTGTATTTGTGTGATTAATATTATTCTTTCAACGGTCTATTAGTTACTAGTTTCATCTATAATTTTGGTACTGGGCTTTCTTTCTGAAGAAATTCGAATCTTAGGCCCTTTTTTAGGTGAAGAGTATATTTTCATTTGTCTCAATAGCTTTTGAATTCCTTAGAAGTATGTTTCTAATTTATTTGTTAATATCCAACTTCAAACAGGTGGAATTAAGCGGCACAATTTCAAAAGGGGTCTAATGACCCACGGTTCTAAGAGTCATAGAGCTTTGGGTTCTATTGGTGCTGGAACAACACCCGGACGTGTGTACAAGGGAAAGAAGATGCCTGGCAGGATGGGAGGGACAAAAAGGAAGATCAGAAAACTCAAGATTGTGAAAATTGATAATGATCTTCGTGTTGTAATGATTAAAGGCGCAGTCCCTGGTAAGCCGGGAAATCTTCTGCGTATAGCACCAGCTAAGATTGTAGGGAAAAACATACCAAAGAACTAGGTTGGGGTATTTGATTGGTTTGTCAAAGAGAGTATTTATGTAACTTTTTTGAATGGCGATTTAGAATTTCAGTTAACATATTCTGTTGAGGGAAGGCTGGATCAATCAATTCTTTTGTGCTAAATTTCTAATTATGAGCCCTGTGTAGTGTGTACTGGATATACTTTTGGATAATTGTTACTTTGTTAGGGACCTCCTTTTGAGGTTTCAGTCGAAAAACAACTAGACCCCATAGATTTTGAAAAACTCTCACTGACCTCCCTTCCATTTCAATTTTTTTTTTTTTTTTCTCTCTCTTCTAATGGCACTTATGGAAAATGACATTATTACCCATGATTATTTGCCTTTTTGTTATTAATTTGACTGAGTGAAGGGTGATGAATTGAATATGTGAAAATCTTAAGAGGGGTGAATGTAAAAGCAATAGTGTAGAGGAAAACAACTAGTTATGAGCTTTCATAAAACATATTATTGACTTCTTTTATAAATGTTTTCAAATTGGTAATGACATGTAAAGAAAAGGAGAACACAAATCTTCGATTTCTGTTTCCTACTAACAGTCTGTCGCCTCATTCACCAGGAAAATTGCTATTAATTTTATTTTTAATTACTCCAATAAGTGAGAGTCAGAATTTAAAAAAAGAAAAAAATTTTGCTCAAGTCATATATACACATAAAATTTCCCTATGAAAATTAAATATGAATATAGTGTATAAGATGTTTTGTTAGAAATAATGTTGTGATGGCAGTAAAATAATTTATAACATGTTTTTTCAAAACAATGTTTTTGATTGTGTCAGAAAATAACTTATTCGAATTAAAGTGGGTTTATAGGATGCTCTGAGCCTCAGAATTATTTCTCATATTTGTACTATCTCATTAATCCATGTTTCAAATGAAGATTGACTTTAATGCATGTCTTTTGTTTTGTTTTGATTGTTTTTGTGAGTATGAATATCTGCTTTTTACTGTGTGTCAATTAATTTTGTAAATTATCAACGTTCAATTATTATTCTCTTTCTTCATTGTTGATTCAATGAACCCTTGGACCTCAAAAATCTGCTGGTCTTAGATCATTTATGTAGCACAAAGACATTTTCACCACCTATAGGCCCAAAACGAAGAACATCTTTAAGAACTCACATACCTATTTGGTATACATCAACAATGCTCATAACTCTTGAAATACAAAATTAACATACATATAATTATACTTGAAAACACTCGCTTTAATTTGATCATCAAACTCGTGCATAAACCTAATAGCTGATCAATTAATTAACCCACACAAAACCCAAACCCACTTCAAAAAATCGAAGATATGCATGGTTTCAATTCACCAAAACTCCTTCCTTTGCCAAATAAGACTCTATGAACAGATACATTTAAGTGGCTTTTTATGCTAATTAGCTAATAAATACCATTGAAGAAGAAGATGGAAAAGTAGAAATTAAGTAAAAATTATGCTTAGATAACATTTGTAGGGAGTTGAAACTGGATGGATAAACATCAGTTGCATGCTGCTGGCACATATATAAACATAATTTTACATCAGAATCACTGGGAAGCCCAACATATAAAACATCTCTATTTTATTTTTCTATAACAATTTTTCTTACTCTCTTTAATTTCCTCGTATATTTATTTAACAAAAGTGCATGATCATATATATATATATAGATACGGGTTATCACTACAATTCTAAACCTAAATCAGTGACAAGAAAACACACACAGACAGATAACAATGTAACTGTAACTGTAAGTAGAATTAAGATGTTGCGCGCAGGAGTAGATAGGCATGCAGCTTAGCTATAGGTGTTGCTGAGAGACTGCTGTGTAGAGAACTGCGTAAAGCACAAAGAGAAGAAAAGTTCCAAAGCCAAACCATCCAGGATCAGACGCTCGGCCGCCGGCGCCGGTGGTTTGATCATGAAGTGCAGGATCAGTAGTTAAAGAGACTGGAATAGTTGGGAAGCAAGAACCGATCAAGTTGAGAAGAAATAAAGAAAGAATGAGAAGCACGACAAAGAGTGAGATGGTTGGACCAAATATCGCCATTCCAAGGAATGTCACCATTAGAGAAGGTACCAGTGGTGATGGCCCTTTGTTTTCCATAGCTCTCAATCTCTCTCTCTCTCTCGCGTTAGCTTTATGATATTTTTGCCTATTGCTTTACTTCATACTTTGTAACTATGGAACTCTAGACTTAATTATAAAGAGGATCCTCATAGAGAGATGAACATCAGGATAATATGATTCTCTCCATTGGTTATATATAATTAGTTGACCTCACTCTTGTCTTTACATTCCTCTAAAAATATTTTATGAGAAGATCTCTCTCTCTATATATTTTTTAAGTTATAGAGTACAATTGGTTAAGGGGATGAATAATATTAGGTTTACAAATTTAACAAATACAAAAGGTTTATAACAATAATCATCGTAATAATTAATCTCCTTTAATACAAAATTAATAAAAGAATGACTACTAATAAAGTAATATTATGCTTACAATTGAATCATACAACTGAGTAATACAATCAGACAAAAAATAGAAAACAAAATAATCATTTTACATCAATTTTATGTAATTTTTGTATAGTTCTATAACTTAGTAGTAAGCAAATCATTGTTGTTATTAATAAAAGAGTGATGCTATATCTATAAAGTATGGAAAAAATTGTACATTTCCTATTATTCTTAATAAAGTCAATTTGTACATAATTTTCAAAATGTCAAAGTTTTTTTTTAAAATACAGAAATAATCATAAAATCTCTCTAAGAATCTTTTACCTAAAATAAAGTTATAATGTACAATTAATTAAGGAAATCGATAAAAGAATGAATATTAAAGTCAATTTGATAAATGTATAACAAATGGAAATGAATTATATGAGATTGCAAAGGTAAAGTGAAATGAGTTTGAAGACATATATAAGTTTTATATTTATATATATCTCAAGGAGAAAATTAAAATTTACATTATTATTATAAATAAGAAAGGTTTAAGGTTATATTATAAGAGACTTTTTAATTACAAATCAAGGAATTTCTGAAATTATTTTGAAAGCAGAAGAAATTTGGTTTAATTAATTAGTATAGAGTTATGTTGTAGAATAAAATGTAAGGCATCGATGATTCCAGAGGATGGATTATTCAATGTTGATATTTATATTATATTAATTAATATTTTTGAGGCAGAAATAGATATATAGATGGTCCATATGGAATCAGCATTTGGAATCTAATCCATGTTGTTATCCGGACAAAAAGAGTTGGGTGTTAGGAATTCGGTTAATTATATTGTCTCTAAAATTTAAAAACACAGAAAACATGTTTGGACAACACAAACACATATTCTTTATTTTTAACGAAGAAAACATCGAAAACACTGAAAACATCTTTTAAATGTTTTCATCAATTTCTACATACTTCCATATTCCTTCAAAATCCCATTTGTTACAATTAAGAGTGCTCTACTATTTAATTAGTATTTTTGATGACTAAGGGTGTTCGAGTCAACTTACACACACCTCAACTAATCTTACAGAATCTTGAAACTATCAGTTGAGTAAGAGTTCTAGTGGTCACTATTATTAGGGACTATGTAGACTCGAACTCGAGAGACCATGTTAAATATAGGGGTGGCCATGAGGACTCAAACTCGGAAGACCACGATAATTCCTCTTCTTGTTCTTTTACCATCAAGTGAACTCTAACTTGGAAGACCAATTAAATCATCATTTGCTCTTTTACCATTAGGCCACCGGTGATAGTTAAGTTTAGTATATATTCATTAACCCGTATCAATGAAAATTTTAACAACTAACTAATGGTTTATTAACAAAAGAAGAATTTTGTTATACCAGAAATCCTAAAGACATTTTTGCTATTACACTAATTTAAAGAATTCATTTGCTATATTATTTTGATAATATTTAGTTGCATCATTAGATTGTTTGCAATGAATAATATTTGGTGAAAAGTTTTCCATTGGTTATTATTTATTGACTTTCACATGTCATTGCATTATTGCTAACTGGACATCTAAAATAAAGCCCGCGGTACCCGAAATTTCTAGAAGTGTACATCGAATTATTATCTTATTTTTTTTGTGAAGTTAATGAATAGGTTGTGTATTTTATTTTTGATTTTATAAAATTTTAACAGCCATTATTATTGAAGTCTTCTAAATTAATTATTTACGGTGTATAAATAATTAGTTTTTTATGCATGAATTTCGTGGTGCACTCTTGTAGTTGAAATGTTTTGTACTCTCATTTGCACAAAGCATAACCATTCAGAAGTCATTTCCCTTCTCTCTCAAAACTGATGCAATAGTGTTAAGTAAATAAAACATGATATTCAAAATAACATAGTGCAACCATTGCACCCAAGATGTAACCATTCGTTTGCTTTTGGTGCAACGCATTAGATTGCACTAAATTTTTTTATTGAATTAGAGTCAATATATATATATATATATATATATTGTATTTTTCTTATAACCAAGGTGTTTAAACCAATTTATCTGTAGTTCGATTAATCTTCAGGAGAGACTTAGATTGCATTATATTTAATCCTAGTATCATGTGTTTGGTTGAACACCATATTAAATATATAATTAATATTTAAAAAATTTAAAATAATAATAAATCATTTATAATTAGCCAAATCTTTCTTGACTTTTCCTATCGAAACACTGTTGTTGGCAACCTCTCAATCACCTTACCTAGAAGATTGCATTATTTATATTCTACCCCCTCTGAGAGGTGAGGAAGTTTAAATGCCGTCACAGTTTTGCAAAAGTATTATGTATTAGCATAAATTAGGGCTATATGTTGAGCTCAACTGCTCGAACGTAGCTTGTGCTCAACTTGGCAAAGGCTCAAGCTCGAGCTCGAACGGCTCAACTATAGTGTCAAGCCGAGTTCGATTGCAACAATACTCGGCTTGACAAGCTTGCGAGCTTCGACGAGCTCAAAGAATATATGTGATAGTTTTGAAACTAATAGGGCAATAGATAACTTTTCCCTTTTTTAAAATGACAAACACACCCTAAATTAGAAACAAAAATCAAATTTCCTTTTAAATTCGGAACAAAATAACAACTGTTTAAAAACAAACTCCTA